TGGAGGAAAAAATGTCTCTCGGTTGGCACAGAAGAAGTGTCCAAATAGGGGAGCAGGAGAATCAAACCACCCCGACTTTGTGTACCCCCAGTATTGCTCAAAGTTGCTCTTTCACGTTTGCAACCTGCTTGGGGCCACACATCAGTCTACACCAGGGGTCTTCAAACTTGGCCCTTTGATGACTTGTGGACTTCAACTCGCATAATTCCTAACGTAGGTGACTCTGAGGGCAGAGATAAACCTCCAAGTGGCCTCAACGATTCTCAGAAAGAGTGCTAATGACCAGATGACTGCAAGGAGATAAATCCTTCCATTTCCCCTACCATTTAGCCAGAACTGAAGAAGCTTCTTGTACGAGAAGCGAAAGGTCTTCAAGGAAGAACAAAGGAAGTCCAGTTGCCTCTTTTGGAACAGCATCTCTGGGACTATTGAAATGGGAGCACAGAAACCAGCTTCCCAAACTCAAACTAGGTACCTTCTGGTTTTCTTAAGACTGCCTCATTCTCTATTTTGCATGCTTCCATGCAAGAGATGCTTAGGCTGCAAGGACCGAGGAGTGCCAAATGGAGGGAAGAATTGAGGTCAACCCTGATGGGACCATTGTTGGTTTCCTTCTTGCAGGAGAGGCTATTCTACGATGTTCCTTCTCTGCAGTGATTAGATGATGCACAGCAGAGTTGGTACACAGAACACTTAAGGTATTAGGGTCACGCACCATGCTAAGCGAATCTCATCTAACAGGTTGCAGAAATCTAGCCATCATGCTTTGCAAGCCACCGTTTATCGCCAGGATCATTTTCTGAACCTAGCCAACTTTGGTTTATTGCGCAAACAATAGCTTGGTACAAACCTGGACCCAGCTTAGGACAGAACGGTCAGTTGGCCAGAAGAAGTTTTAAGAGGCAGCCTACGTTTTACAGAACTCACCCCCAAATATTCAGCTTGTTTAGTCTGACAGGTTCTCCTCTATTTTGCTTGCTTTGAGGACCTTCCCATTTTAATTATTGTGGATCTAATGCCTTCAGTGAGGAACAAAACATCGGAAAAAGAGTTGTTGTTTTTTTTAAGAAAGAGAAATAAACTACAGAAAATCCTACAGGTGCCATGTTGATCAGGCAGACATTGCTTCGGTTCAAACGATCTTGTTACAAAACAGGCTTCAAGAATATTTTTTTAAAAAATAGAGTGTTTTTTTTAAAGACATTTTTTAAATCTCAAACTTATTGGACTTTGAAGTTGACTTTCTCTAATTCCCCTAAACGGCACAGACTCCATTAATTGCTTTAACGAGGAGAATAAGTAGAATATGCAGAGAAGATGAAATGAATGCAAATCCACTAAGGTGAAGGGAAATCTCACTCAGGGTCTCCGTTAAAGAAATGAAGAAGTCTTGGAATTAAAAAAAAATAAAAATAAATCTTTAGAAATGAAGGAATGCCTGTCTCTACTCTTCTGGCCCTTCAAAAATCAAAAAGTATCTCAAAGAGGCTAAAAGGGGAACGGAAGCCAAAAGACACCCCCTCCCCAACTATCTTGAGAGAAAGGGAAAAATAAAATCTTGCTTTCTAGCTAAACAGCCATTTCAAAGACTTCCTCCGTTACCGTTTGCAAACAGGAAAAAAACACACCAATGTTCTTAGACGTGTAATCTTCGGAAAGAACAAAATGTGCCATCTTGATACCGTGATTTAAAGAAATCAGTGCAGTGGCTGTGCGGAACTTTTTGATGAATGCTGTGAACTTGCTGTTTTATCTACCTTATGATGGTTTTTTTAAAATATACTTTTGTATTGTTTCCTGTTTCCCAAAGCACGCTCTACCCACCCAGACAATTGCACACCCCTTGAGTAAACCCTAGTTCAACTATCCTTAGCTTAGCGTGACCTGGGAACGCTGTCTTGACGGAAAGTACTTGTAAAGGAGAAACAAAGGGGGAACTCGGATCTGTTGAGACTTTAGAAAGAGTGCAGAGAAGAGCAACAAAGATGATTAGGGGACTGGAGGCTAAAACATATAAGGAACGGTTGCTTGAATTGGGTATGTCTAGTTTAACAAAGAGAAGGACGAGGGGGGAGAGGATAGCAGTGTTCCAGTATCTCAGGGGCTGCCACAAAGAAGAGGGAGTCAAGCTATTCTCCAAAGCGCCTGAAGGCAGGACAAGAAGCAACGGGTGGAAACTAAAATCAAGGAGAGAAGCAACCTAGAACTAAGGAGAAACTTCCTGACAGTTAGAACAATTAACCAGTGGAACAACCTGCCTCCAGAAGCGGTGAATGCTCCAACACTGGAAGTTTTTAAGAAGAGACTGGACAGCCATTTGTCCGAAATGGTATAGGGTTTCCTGCCTGAGCAGGGGGTTGGACTAGATGACCTCCAAGGT